AAAAAAAGAAGAGATGATCGACCTTGGAGCACGTGCTACTGTTCCAACCAAGATTGCGTTCGAACAGTTCGAGAAGCTGCGCCCCGCTATCATCTTGACAGAAAGGTCAAGAATGAGAACAAGGTCGACCTCTACTCAAGCCGAGCGACATCTGGGCACGCACTCGACCGCTATCCTTATGAAGCACTTTTCGCGTGGTGTCATCAAGTTTGCCAACTCCGGCACGCGCCCGCGGTGGATGCGATTGCCGTACACCTCTACATCAAGGCAATCAGGAGTTCTACCCTGGAGTCAGTGCGGACGACGTCGAAGAGCTCAAAGAGCATATCAGCGCTCGTCATCGCATTGGACCCAACAACGAGCTCGCGAAGTGACTACGACAACAAAAAGGGGAACCGGCCCCACTCTATGTTACATCTAGTACTGTTACAACGAAACGACGAGATGCAGTTCGAGTACGAATTCGCTACTATTTCAAGATGGTTCTCGGTTGATGAGGGAGTGTGAGATGTGATCGCGATGTCACATCGAGATCAACCTCAACCCTAATGAAGATCTACCTCGTAGCGTAATTCCCCTCTATTTTAGTTCATACTTTTACGTCGAACTCCCCACCATGTCATCCTTCACATCGACCTCAGTTCGTAACATCGAACGACTTTTCCTTAGCAAGAGCATAGTTAGGAAAAAGGAGAGATCTCGATCTGCTGGAGTCTCCTTGCATCTTCTGGGCCGCACTGGGATAAGCACGCACGCGCGGACTGCAAACCTTGGCTACTGCGCGGCAGTACGTCGTATCTGAGGCATTCCCCTCAAGTCTCCGCTGCCCCTGTTTGGCCGGGTTGCGGTGCTTCTTCCCTTGGCGCCACCGCCGCCGCTCCGCGAGCCACGAGCCCCACCAGAACCACGGACACCTTGAGGCAATGTCGAAGGACGAAGAAACATTTGGATCACCTCGACGATTAAATCTTCGTTAGAGGGCCAGCCGCGATAACTAATCAGATAGTAGATCATCGATAGATAGTCGAGTGGGCTCAATTCAATTGCCTTGCATTGCCGATTGACAATATATTCAAAGAGCGATACTTCGATCAGTAATGGCTTGTGCTTCATTCTCCTCATCCTTCTTCGTTTTCACTAGGTCCTGTTTGCCATGCCAGAGAGAAAGACCTATGATCTAGACGCTCAAAAGTGTGTCAAAAAGGGCAGCAGGAAATGGAAAGGCTGCAAGTGGGTGCATTGAGTGCTGAAAAGACAGGGCTTAGTCCGAACGAGCTCTTCTTGCTTTCCGGCTGGACGTCACAGTCATCACACCAGTGTCTGCCAAAATCGAACGTACGCCCACTGGGTTATGGCGCGCCACAACGAAACAGTCAACACAGTCCCTTCCACTGACTCGGTACCGGTATTCCAGTAGAATAACAATCGTTCGTCAATAAATTCATTGGTACTCATTTGAATGGGCGTACATTTGAGTTTGTGAGCCACCTTTCCCGTGGTATGGTGTTCTACCGGTATGCCCGCTGCCATGACGTAGAACTGTAGATTGGAATTGTCGTCTTTGTCAACTTTGTTCACCTGCCATGTGGACCGACAGAACGTGTACTAGTACATTGAGGCAGCCTTGTCGTTGTACCCAGTGCACCCACTGCGTATGCATGAGAAAATCATGCCAAAAACGCCCCAACTTCGCACGAGGTGTCCTTCTTTCGAAGCTGCCCAGCATACATCAGTTTAATGTGCCGCCTGTAGGTTGGAAACAGCCAGTGGTAAACCAGTATGAGTAGCCATTGGCACATGTGCCACCACTCAGACCCCAGCCAGCCATGCAGGAAGGCGCTCATGGAACCAACCAACGAATCCTTTTCTCCGTGTGCACGAGCCATCTCGCAGCTAGCTGGAAAATGCCCAATGACAAAGTCCCACGAGCGCAAGATTTCATGCAGCCCGATCGATCTAGCCTTTGTCGTCTCAGAAAGATGGCACGCTCTCAATGTATGTTTGTGTCCTCGATACTTTAGTTCAGCTGTGAATTTGAATTCTGAAATTGAATTCCTCGCACATGCAAGCGTCTCTTGCCGGTTTATTGGCGTGTCGCTCCATAAAACTCCCTCTCTACAAGCCCCTTTCTTGTTGTCGTAACATGGCGCGGAAGGCTTCAATCGACGGGGGTGCATCCGGATCGGTCGCGTTGTTACGCCGTCGTCGTCGTTTGTAGTATTGGTAGAATTCCAGGTTGATGGCATGATCGCGAAACATGGTTGGATGAGTGTAAATGGCGGCCTCCGAGACGGCACTCAGTCCATGTACGATCCAATCGCACCGTGCCATGGCAGCAATGTCCACCAACACTTCGGTATTGGTTCGATGATGGCCACTACTACTAGTACTGCCCTGTTGTTGTTGTTGTTGCAAAAATGCTTGCTCAAAGACTGCGGTCCCATTGGGAGATCGAATGACGTGATCTTGCCAGCGGACATGTCGTTGGACTGGTTCTGGCCATTCGGTTTGAATCTTGTCCAGCACTCGACTCGAGTCGGTGGCCACGTAAATGTACACATCATCATTGCTGTTTTCTTCCAAATAGGCTTGACAGTAGGGCAGAAACGCGGCCAATGGAATTTTGGTGCGTTTGTTGGCCTTGTCGGAATGACGAATGTGCACGGCCATGCATTTCTGGTTCTTGCTGCTGTCAAATTGTTGTTGCTGCTGTAGAGACGGCAACAACTGATAGTAGGTCGATACGATGCGATGCCCCGTCTCTCGCATGGGTGCCCACCATTCGAGGTAGTTGTTGGATGGCAATTTGAGACTGGGTGGCACCCCCCCGTATTTCCAGGCTCGTACACAGTAGGGACAATGCAAATGGAGTCCTTTCACTAGAATGAGATCCGATTGGAAGCGAAGGAGGGGCTTGTTGGGACATGGTTTGGTAATGTCGACATGCGTTACAAATGCTGTCTGATCATTATTTTTGGACAGCTGTAGAGGTACAATGGATTGAAAGTAGGAGTTCCAAACTCCCGAGCCATGAACCGTGATAGATACGGGTTTATTGTCATTGTTGGATGATGGTGATGATGAATAGACTGGTGTTCCAGGATAGGGAAATGTCTTGTTGGGTAGCAATGGATCCTGAAAGTGTTCCCAAGTCAACTGAAGCTCCTCTGTAAATTGGTAGGTGATACTCGTGTCTTCTGTGCTGCTACTTGCATATGTGGCATGCTGGTGGTGATCATAGACATGCCTGGACACAGAGTTCAAATGAATCCAAGGCTGTAAGTTGTGCTGTTCCGCATAGAGCAACTGATTGAGTATAAACAAATAAAAGATGGTTCCAGCAGCTCCATTACGGTCGCCTTGACTGATGAGCAAAACGCCATCGTAGTGTTGGCAATAGTCCGGATATTTTAACACAACATCCACTCCTCTTTCTGGATGATTGTGGTTGTTGGTGGCAACGTTTCCTTGAATGGCTTCCGTGGTAACTGTGTCGTGTACCGGTACTATGGAAGTCTGAGAGGAGGACTGCCAGAACACCAAGTAGTAGATGATGGACAGACAAGCCCAAAAAGACAGAAGAAATAAAACTTGATGAGACGTTCTCCACCAAGAGGATCGAAAGAGTCCTGATGCTGATACTGATGGCTTGGCTCTGGTGATGGCACTCGTCACAGTGGCCATTGTACCGTGCTTCTAGACGTGTCACCCCACTACAGTATGGAGGTGGTATGAACTTTTGAGAAACAAAACAAGCACTTGTACAATTTCCAATGACAGCGAAAAATTTGGAAGTCAACCTGATGCTACACGATGGAATTCAATCCAAATCATGCCTTTCAATGCAGAACAGGTACGGGGTAGTCTATATTGGCGTGGTGTGGGACAAGCCCAGCCTGCAGCCTTTGTTACTACCGGTAGTACTGCACTTGATTGGATCATTCACCTCTCCTCTAATGGTACTGTATCCATCATTAAAGTTCAACGCTACTACTAGTAAGCCATACCATCTCAAGCTGTCGCAATCTCTACTAGCTACGTGCAGCTAGAAGAAGCTTCAATGCCAAGAAGTTGTCGGCCTGATCCAATCCACCATAATCCAGCGCGAGCTGTCAGGACAATCTGAGGTCTTCTTGGACCCCCCACTACAGTATTTTAAAATATTAATAGTAGAGTGAAGTCGATGTTCTTCTCCGGACGGCATCTGCCTTACTATTTAACTACTAAAATATTTAACTATTTACACATCATTTACCCGCCTTATGCCTTATCCATCATTGCCAAGAACCCGGTTCCATGACTTTAATTCCTGAGTCAAGAATGTTACAGTATTAAGAATTAGTTTTCGAAGGGTAAACTCATCAAGCTGTTTACAGCTCTGTTTACCACCTCGCAGCCGACAGCCGACACAAACCATGCACCGATAAGCTTTGACACACCGTTGGCAAAACCCTCATCACCACTATCTCCGGCTGACAGAGCAATTGATAGTAGACTATGTTCACTACTCCCGATCTTACTGGAAGCAATACAAACGCTGTCGGAATGCCACAGCCACAGTCAGGGCAACAAGATGTCGAGCATGAGTCGGTAGTGGACCCACCCAGTGTGATTGATGTCTCTGGTAGAACAGAAGACATGACCTGTGCTTCTTCCGTGACTACTCACTTTCAAGATGCTCAGCTGTTTGTCCCTCACATGTACCCATCAGCACAGAATCTACACGATACCGAAGATGTAGACGATCCTCAATTCCAGCCAGTCACACAGCAGCCAAGAGGATCGACAACAACACCTTCACTTGGTCTGCTGCCGCCACTTCAGGAGGAATCATCATCACACCAAGAACCCACTGATGAAAGCAAGATTGACGAAAATCGATTGCAAGCAGAACAAGAGAAAGCAGTCAAAAAGGAGGAATCAGCCACTGTCCCATCCCTGGCAAGCTTGGAATCGAGAATCAACCAGAAAAACCAAATATACTGCGATCATCAGATTTCATCTACAAATAAAACAGATGGTGTTACCATTATTAATTCACCAAAAACAAAGGGAGGACAGAATCATCCATGCATTGGTTTTGCCATTCAGGAGGGGCATCCCGTTAGTGAGGATGAGGTGGCAAAGAAAATTGACAATGAAGATGAGCAAGGTGTTATTAAGGTCCTTGATGGGCTGGGACAGAACAAGGATGCGGGATTAAGAAATCCAGCAATTACTGCCGCGATTTCTAGTGTCAATGAGGACAGCAACAAGAATCTGGGAATTCTGGATGCCAGAAGAAATCCAGTAGTTTCTGTGGGGATTTCTAGTAGTGTCGATGAGAACAATTGGCATCAAGATTTTCCAGGGGCCCAAGATTTTCCACCTCCTGGTAACACTGCCAGTGTTCCGGGGGCACATCCTGTTTCCAATCCATTCGGAAACTTTTCCCAACGGCAAACAAATCTATCAACAAGGGGCGAAAATCAGAATACTGCTGTTGATGAAGAGGAAGGAGGAGATACCCAACAACCTCCACCAGAATCATTGGCAGAAGCAAGACCTGTAGCTGAGGATGACTTGCCCGTTGCTACTGCTCATAATGGGAACCAAAACAGCCAGAAGAGAAGCAATTGGCCGTTCTACATTATGGAAGGAATCTTCTGCATTCTAGTCATGACTGCTGTCGTTGTTGGGGCTGTTTGTGGCACCGGACACTGCAGCCAGAAGATCTATGTGGATGGCAGCAGCACCATGGCGCCCACCACAATAAGAGATGCTGTTGCAGCACCTGAAATTGAAATTGCCTTGAAAATCATTTTGGGAAAGGAATACTTCCAACATGTGGAAGGATCTGGAGAAGGAAATGATGGTAAAATCCTAGAGTTCATGCTGGAGACAAGGCACAAAGCCTTTGATTGGATTGTCAACCAGGATCCAATCCAGCTAGAGTATAACTCTCCGAATTTGGTTCAGAGATTCCTTTTGGTGCTCTTCTATTACCAAACCACAAGGCATCAACGATGGAAGGAGTGCAATCCACCAGCAACTCCCCAAGGAAGCGCATTCTGCTATGAGCCAGACATTGTAACTGGTGAAGCAACATCAACCATTTGGGGTGATCTGTGGCTCTCTGCCAGTCATGAATGCCAGTGGGCTGGAGTGGCCTGTGAGACTGTACAGTCAAAAGAGATGACAGTTGTTGGGCTAAAAGTTCGTAAGTATTTTCGGCCGAACATGTGAATTGTGTCATTGACTTCTTACACATTCGAATATATGCTTCAGTTTGGAACCATCTCAATGGCCCCCTCCCATGGGAGATTTCACAATTGCCACACCTGAAAAATATCGAGTTGACATACAACATGCTGAGTGGAATGCTTCCACCAAAGCTGCTCTCTTTTTCATTGGAGAATCTCCGGTTGGGCATCAACCAACTCTCAGGACCCATCCCTGCTGGATGGTTTGAAATTCTCGATGAAGGAAATGCAAAACTTACCACACTTCAAATCTCTTCAAACAGACTGACTGGGACAATCCCCTCTGAAGTGGGGATGTCCCCCTTGAAGAGAATTTTTCTCAACAACAATTCACTGACAGGGTCTCTCCCACTGGAAATATTCCACATGGGTTCTCTTGAGTATCTAATGGTTTATCGAAATGATGTGAGTTATTGCCCTTTGCATGAGCAGCCTATACCATGAAAAATCGGAATATTGGCCTAATCCTTCAACCATTCCTTCTCCTAAAGCTTACGGGCACCCTGCCAAGTGAAATTGGATTGCTAACGCACTTGCGATTTATGGTTGTAATGCACACTGGCATTGGAGGAACCATACCCTCGGAAATTGGTCTGGCCACTCAATTGAGCGAGTTCCATGCTTCCTACTCCAATATGGAAGGGACGGTCCCAGAAGAATTGTATACTGAACTCACCGAATTCGGTGCTTTGTCCCTGAATAATTGCAACTTTTCTGGGACCATCAGTACATCACTTGGTCTTTTGACAGATCTCTGGAGACTGAATGTGGCCAACAACAACTTCCATGGCACAATTCCCAATGAGATTGGGGCACTGACTAAGCTGAATGAACTAGAAGTGAATGGGAATGAGCTCACTGGCACTGTTCCTGTATCTGTATGCCATTCTACTGATAATTATGGACTCTCTTCTGCGGTTGTGGCTGACTGCTTGCCAAATCCCGGAACTGGAGTTCCCACAATCGAATGTGGTGATGATTGCTGCACCAGTTGTTGCGACAACACAGGGGTATGCCTTGCAAATTGAGTGGCCCCTTATTCCAAATGTATAGATTTCAGTTTTCCACCAAACATGCAATTCTGCCTTGCTGAGATGTTCTGCAATGTAAAATGGCGTACTGGACTTGCATGGCAGTCACATATGGCTCTGGTGATGGTCCAGTGGCCAAATGTTGTACTGAGATTCTTCGTTTTCCTTGCTAGATACATCGTAGCTAGTGAGGTCGAGTGAGGTGGTATGAATGTCCGAGAAGCAGGGGCTTATGCAGTTTCCGCTGGCGAATTTCATGGAATGGAATCAGAGGAAGTTTGTGAAAGGAACAATCCCGTCCCGCAAACTTCAATTAATTTGACACTGCCAGTTCCATTTCCAGGCCCGATGGTTGTATACGAGCGCTGTCATGAGCTCGTAATCAGTCTCTGGGTTGATCGTGATACTCATTATTGCGACGACAACAAGGTTGAGGCACCATTCGCACTTGCCAATTGATTCTCTAGCCATGGCTGTGACAACTAGTATTTGGAAGTCAGGGAAGAGAAAAGCCCGGATCAGGACAACCATGTACCAGATGTGAGCGTTATTGTGGTGGAGGAGCGCAAGATGCACAGTTCTTAGGGTCGATTGAGTTTCAAAAGTGCCATTGCTCGAGAAGCCATAAGTTCTACCCCAAGATGCAGTATTGTCTTTGTGGTGTTGGAGTTCAGAGTCCAGACTTTCAATCCTGCCCACTGCAGCTGCAAGATCGTCCAAGAAATCGGGGGTGCCTTCGATGGAAGAGTACATTATGTGACGTCTCTTGCTTCTCGGAAGCTATCTTGATGGATTCACCCGACAAACCAGCGGGAGCCGCCGGAACACAACCCTATTTGGTTTCAGTTTGTAGACTGCATCCAGCGTAGCTTGGGTTTCTCTTGCGTTTGAAGCGTGCGGTCCGCGAGCGTTCAATGTCTATGATGATAACCTGCCTTCCGAGCAATTTTTTGCCTTGGCAATTAATTAAGAGCAAGCAAATTAGATCTCGTTATCAACGAGGCAGGGATGCGGCTCTTCGTACTCCTACGCTCGCACGGTCGATAAAACTGGTCAGATGCATGGATGGTCCGATTCGATTCAGTGCCCCGCATCCACGCAATAAGGTAGTGCAGTTGCCTCATCGAATTTCAGCACCCAGGTGCGAACCTTGTTGACACTCGGACCGCATGCAGAACGATCTGGTAACAATTAAACCAGCGCGAGCTGTGAATCACATTTTCTTGAGCGATTCGATTCGATTCGATTCGATTCATCATTCAATCCCGTTTCCACGTTCTTCCTTCTGGAAACCTAAATCTTTTTTAAAATTAGGGATCTTGGGTCCAGAATGTAAAATGACCGAAAGAGCAAAACCGGCAATGGCGTGTAAAAGAAACAGAATTTGCAACTCAATTGAAAAGATGACCTCTTCCTACCACTGCTCCACTTTCCATATCCGTTGGTTGATCACTTTGCATTAGCAAACACTGAAGATGCCCCAGCCCGTGGTTTGGTTCCTTTCTGTATTCATCCTGAGTGTCTCTACTACTGGTATAGCTCATGGTCTCATTGATGGGGAGATACCAGCCTTTGACACAAACCCCTATTCTCCTGGCTACAGTAGTCATCGACAGCACGTCTGCGACAGATACGAACTGTACCGTAATGGAGACATTGAGCTGAAGGACGCCCTCGCTGGTCTAGCGCTACAACCTGTCTTTATCCAAGGCGACGATTACGTCAACAGTCCAGATGGAGGGATTGCCATTGAGTTGCTCGATGCAGTGGCGGAACGCGCATTTTTCACATGGCGGAAATCCTTTGGCGTCACGGCAGCGCCGCACACGTACAACATGACATCCACAGAGATGCTGCTCTGGAGTGTGGAAAATTACGATATATCGATTGACGCATGGGATCATTCCGTCGAACGAATGGAATTTGGCGTCACGTTCACAGAGCCGTGGTTCGACTCGAGCTTTATTTTGATTGACAGAAGGAGAAACCTGCGACAATCCAATTCCATAGATCTCTTCAATTGGACCAAACCTTTTGAACCAGCTGTTTGGGGAATGATTGTCTTCACAATTATACTGTCAGGACTTGTATACCAGGTCATTGAATATCTCAATGGAGAGAGGGAAGAGAGGTCTCTGTACCAATGGATGTCCGACAACATTTATCTCAGTGCCATCAATTTCTCCCAAAACTTTGAATATGCCCCCAGCAGCCTGGCTGGAAGAATATTTGGGGTCAGCATGACACTTTGGGCACTGGTGATCACTGCTACATACACGGCAAATCTCGCCTCTCTGTTTGTGGATTCCAAATTAGAGCCCGTTTTGGTGGACTCTATGGAATCTGCCGTAGTGTATGGGTATCGAGTCTGTACGGTGGACAACACCAACATGGACTTTTACATTCGAGATACGTATCCAAAGGCGCTCCGGGAAGCCAGAGAAAGTCACCTGGCCGCTTTTGACGCATTACGAAATGGTGAATGCGAATTGCTCGTGGCGGGGTTTGATGAGTGGCACAGCGTTCAGCTAATGGAAGCATTCAACCCGGACTGCGATTTGGAGTGGGTGGGTGACATTATCAAGAAAAGCCATGCAGGATTTGCAGTTATAGCCGATGCGGGGGACAAATGCAGCAGCTTGGTCCGAGATGTCGTAAATCTTCACTTGGTAAATCTTGTGGAAGAAGGGTTCCTAGAAGAGCTCAAAAGAAAATACAGAGCATTGGATGATGACGGAGTTTGCGCCTACAATGATGATGACAACTTTGATGGGTCTAACCGGCAACTTTTGACGCCGACAAACCAAGAGGACGAGATGCCTTTGGGTACCAGTCTTTCGTCCGAGCATAGAATGCTGAAGGGCGGTGGTGCAAAGGCAGCAGGTGGAGCAACCGCTAATGCGGATACACTGACAGTAGAGCAAATGCTTGGAACGTTTGTTGTGCATTGGGGGGCCATGGCTGTTGCTCTTGTGGTGAGTCTCATTGCCACGTACGCACAGAAACTTGGTTGTTTCCACAAAGAGGGGCAGATTGTGGAAAAGGTAACCAACAGGACGCATGGACCGATCATTGGTCAGCCACCACCAATCAACACGTTTGTGGTCCGCAATTACAACGGAATGGATATCAGCCACAGCTCGCGAAATGGCCGCATGCAAGAGAGCAGCCCTGTTAGCAGCAATGTCAACCTTGCAGAAATTATGGGTAGAATGAACGACATGGAAAGAGCACTGAATGCCCAGTCGGCCCAATCGACCGCGATGCAAAAAACTCTTGTTGCCCAAAACGCAATGATGCATGATATGCAACAGCTGTTGAAGGCAGTGTACAAGGAGCATGATGTATGACGTGAATTGACTTGAACATGAGCTCCTGCCGACCATGATTGGATGGGATGTTGCTGTATTCTAGCTCGTTGGTACACGTGAACTCTGATGATGCGGTTTTTGTGCGGTATCGTACTTGGTGACATTTTAGACAGAGTCTTTTTAACTCGTCGAAGAGTGAAAGGCAACAATGTGGTTTGCGAGAGGAGCGGACCTGAAAGGGGGAAATCAGAGATGATCTTCTAGCTACGGTAGTCGAACGCGATGGACATGCCGACTGAGACCACGAGAAATGTGAGAACTCAAGTTACGAAACACCCCACCTTCTATTGGTGCCATGTAGCAAGAGCGAGGTATAGCAACAGAGCGTGAAACAAGGGGAACCTCGCGGTTGCGAATTACAAGTTCGTGGCTTCGAAGAAAAAGGGCTGGGAGCGATGAAAAGTCTAGTAAGGAAGAATCGGAGCCCCTATAGCTGTAAGTCTTCTTCTTTGCCTAAGCCTGTCCCTCGCTGGCTGGCTTCTGTAGATATCCTCCCTAGTTTACTCTGGTAGACGCCCTTTGACTTGAGAAATGACAGAACCTGGTTTCTCGTCCAAGATCCGTCATCGCCGCCCCAGAAGTGCCAACCCCTGTACGGTGAGGCACATGTTTATTGAAACGGTTGTGAAGTACCAGGTACAAGCTTTGGAATATGCCGCCATTGTGGCCGATGAGGTGAGCCCAGATTCTCGCCGTACCGGTAGCTAGCAGCTAATGCTAACTAGCTACCGGTGGCTAGCTCAGAGACCGGGGGATGCCGAGATGTACGATTTCTTTCTTGGCTCTTCCGTGCGCTTCGTCCCACAATAGAACGCACAAACAATTTGAGGTATGTACTGGTACGCCCTCCACGTAGGTCCTATTGCTCTGGAAGACAGGTTTAGAAGGGTTATAGTTTATACGTTTTACCCTGCATTTTTTGCTTAAAAAGTATTATTTACCGCAACTACATGTACCTGAACTCCAAAGGTGCACTGGCTTGGGCTCTAGAGTGATAGAATAACGAGTTCAAGGGGAAAAGTGAGGGATAGCTAGCTTCTGTTCTATAATAAATGATGGGGATCTTTTGGAGATTTGTTGGAGATTGTACTTACTAGTAGTTGTGTTGGAGAATGTGAGGCTCTCCAATGGAGTTGGCAGGCCCTAGATGCAGGCTGGCCATAGCAAGAGTCACAGAATAATACAAAAGCTGGGAGTCGAGGAAGACTCCTTGAAGCATTATTTGGCTAACTGTGACAGGCCATCGCCTTCAGCGTTTGCGCTACTGTAAACGCATTGAACAAATTCAGCCGTACATGTATGTACTGCTCGGACGGAATTCGAGCTTGAAGTTCCACGATCGAGCTGGATTGTCGACATGTGATTACATATTACATGTACCAGCTCTACAGCTTTTGCACTACGACCTGAGAGGCGAGGGGAAGATTGAGCGGCAGCGGCGAATCGTAAGGCTGACGTTATTGCATGCCCCCCCTTCTCCCATGCACGTGCATCGGAGACTGCGTGGTTGCGACGTTGCGACATTGGCCCCATCAATCGCATCCGTCCTGTGGCATCCATTCACATCCTTTTAAAGGAGACCTTTAATGGGCTTAGCCCCCCTGGCTCCTTGACGTATCTATTTATCTATTTATTTAATAACTAATTCTTGTAATCCGACACAGTCCAAGAGCCGATAAACCACTGGCTAGAAGTTGAGTCTAAGTAAGTCTACTAGTACCCGTAACCACCACATCATTTATCTTTATCTGCCTTCCTTCAAAAACAGACCAAGCAAATCGATCGATCCACAGTCTACCTGGTACAGCACGGATTGAATGATTGAATTCATTTCTTCTTGTCTTCTGTTGGCTCTCTACTAATCTAGTAGAGAGAAAGCTTGTAGTCAGCATCAACCCTCCTCGAGACAATGATGTCCACCCCTGATGGTACTGGCAGTGCTGATGCTGGTGGGATGCTACCACTTAGCAGTGATCAGCAATACATGCAGCCACAACATGTGGAGGATGAGTTAGTAGTGGACCCACCCAGTGAGATCAATGTCCCGAGACCCGAAGACATGAGTTGTGCTTCTTCCGTCACGACTCATTTCCAAGATGCCGAACTGTTTGTCCCTCACATGTATCCATCAGTGCAGAGTCTACATGATACCGATGATGTAGACGATCCCACTTTTAAGCCAGTCGCACAGCAGCCAAGAGGATCGACGACAACAACAACAACACCTTCAGTTTTGCCGCCGCTTCAGGAGGAATTATCACAAGACCCCACTGATGACAGCAAGATTGACGAAAATCGAATCCTCAAAGAACAAGAAAAAGTTACCATACAAGATCTCTCCTCTGAGACTCCATCCATGGCTACCTTGGAATCGCGAATCAACCAGAAGACCCAGGTCCACTCAGTCCAACAGATTGCCTTTCAAAACAAGGGAGATGCCAACACTGGCATGGGGCCTGTCATCCAAAAGGAGCAAAATGATTATGAAGTGGCCAGAAAGATTGCTGATCAGTCTGCTTCATTTGCCCTTACTGACAGGCAAAAGCTCCACCCAACTCGACAGAGCAACCCAGCCATTTCAGAAATTGTTGCAACTGCAAGTGATAATGACACACCAAAGCCATCACCAAATTGGATTCAAGAATTGCCAAACCCTATGGAAATGCCATCTGTCCCAGCCACTAGAAGAAATGAGCTGCGGGAGAGTATACCAGGTGCACATTCTGTTTCCGCTCAATTCGGAGCCTTTTCGCCACGGCAAACAAATCCATCACCTAGAGGCGGAAATCAGAATACTGCTGTTGATGATGATGAAGGAGGAGATATCCAACCAACTTCACCAGAGTCATTGGCAGAGGCAAGACCTGTAGCTGAGGATGACTTGCCCGTTGCTTCTGCTGATCATGGGAACCAAAACAGTCAGAAGAGAAGCAACTGGCCATTCTACATTATGGGAGGAATCTTCTGCATTCTAGTTGTTACTGGTATTGTTGTTGGGGCTGTTTGTGGCACCGGACACTGCAGTTCTAAAGTCTATGTGGATGGCAGCAGCACCATGGCGCCCACCACAACAAGAGATGCTGTTGCAGCACCTAAAATTGAAACTGCGTTGACAATCATTTTGGGAAAGCAATACTTCCAACATGTGGAAGGATCTGGAGAAGGAAATGATAGTGAAATCGACGATGAGTTCATGCTGGAAACAAGGCACAAAGCCTTTGATTGGATTGTCAACCAGGATCCAATCCAGCTAGAGTATAACTCTCCGAATTTGGTTCAGAGATTCCTTGTGGTGCTCTTCTATTACCAAACCACAAGGCATCAACGATGGAAGGAGTGCAATCCACCAGCAACTCCCCAAGGAAGTGCATTCTGCTATGAGCCAGACATTGTAACTGGCGAATCAACATCGTACATCTGGGGTGATCAGTGGCTCTCTGCCAGTCATGAATGCAAGTGGGGTGGAGTGACCTGTGAGACTGTACAGTCAAAAGCGAAAGCACTTGTTGGGCTAAAAATGTGTAAGTGTTTTAGGCCGAACATGTGGACGCATCATTGTTTCTCACACATTCGTATGTATTCTTCAGGGTGGAATCAGCTGAATGGTCCTCTCCCATGGGAGATCACTCAGTTGCCACACCTGAAAAGTCTAGATTTGCATGGCAACATGCTGAGTGGAATGCTTCCACCAAAGCTGCTCTCGTTTTCATTGGAGAGGCTCTGGTTGGGCCACAACCAACTCTCAGGACCGATCCCTGCTAGATGGTTTGAAAATCTCCATGAAGGAAATGCAATCACCTCTGAAGTGGGGATGCCCCCCTTGAAGAGCCTTGGTCTCAGGAACAATTCGCTGACAGGATCTCTGCCACTGGAAATGTTCCACGTGGACTCTTTGGGGTTTCTACAATTAGAACAGAATGATGTGAGTTATGACCCTCTACTTCTTTTGCACAAGCATCCCAAACAATGAAGAACCTGAACATTGGCCTAATCCTTCAACCCTCCCTTCTCCTAAAGCTTACGGGCACCCTGCCAAGTGAAATTGGATTGCTAACGCACCTGCAACTTATATTTTTGAGTCACACCGGCATTGGAGGAACCTTACCCTCCGAGATTGGTCTGGCAACCCAATTGACTGAATTTCGTGCTTCCTACTCCAATATGGAAGGGGCACTCCCTGAAGAAATGTACACTGGACTCACAGACCTTGTTGCTTTTGTGGCCAATGATTGCAACTTTGCTGGGACTATCAGCTCATCCCTTGGTCGTTTGACGGGCCTGCAGTGGCTGGGCCTAGCCAACAACAACTTTGATAGCATGATTCCCAATGAGATTGAGTCACTGACTTTGCTGCGTCAATTGAAGGTGAATGGGAATCAGCTCACTGGCACTGTTCCAGTGTCTGTCTGCCAAAATCTTGTATATTGGGAACATGAGAGTGCACGTGATGTTGAACTTGCAGTTGTGGCTGACTGCTTGCCAAATCCCGGAACAGGAGTTCCCACGATCGAATGTGGTGATGATTGCTGCACCAGTTGTTGTGACAACACAGGGGTTTGCCTTGCCAATTGAGTTGCCTACCTATAGCAAACATGTATACAGTAGACGTTCACCTTTTTGTCTAGACAGGCAGGCGAATATCGTTTGCAAATGGCATGATGGCAGTCGCATATTATAATATTTTGGCCATTTTCAATGACACCTCATCGTGATGGCAACACGGCAGCCTCCGACTTGACGCCCTTTGGGCAGCGATCGATACTCTGGCGAAATGATCACGAGGAAGGGCCGTACATGCATATGCATACTACAAGTGCAAGTCGCTTCGGCTGCTTGGCTTGACCTGTATACTCGGATCCTGTACGTTTCCAAACCGTCTGTAGTAGGGATGGAGAGAGAGTAATTTTGCAAATCGGAATCGAGGAGCCAAGAACTTGTACGTGCACAACAAAGTCTAAGAGATTGAGGTAGCTACTGCCCGCGGGTAAAGGTATGGGTAGATACGGTATCGGTAAAATGAAATAGAGGGAAAGAATAGAGGGAAACGGAAGGCTCCCACCCACTGGCATACGGAACTATGGCACGCGGGAACTTTGGCAGCCTGAGGTGCTGTCCTAGAGTTCCACCATCCTCGCACGGTACCGGTACGTACAGGTAAAGTAGGCAATACACGAGCAAGATCTCCTTATCTCGAATTGTGCATTCATTCTCCGCACCGCAAGCTGGACGACGAGACTGACGGGAAGCCATGTATCGTACACCAATCACAAGGGGAAACAGAGGAGACTCGCGACGAAGATCCACGTACATTGTATTACGTTTACCATAGATTGTGACCCCAGAGGCGCCAAGACGGGATCACGATACGGAAGACTGACGAAATGTGTGAAAATGTGTATGGTTTAAGACAAATAAAAAATCTACCTGGAACGAACGAACCACCGACCGAACACCCGTGGAATGCATGCATGCATGTATGCACATTACTACTTATTTCTTGCAACAAAAGATGCACGCACACGTCGAAGAGATACAACTGAATAGACAACTGAGGAGTGATCCTTCGGCCGCCCAATCGGCAAAGATGGCACAAAGTGCTCCCATGACGGTTCCACTGAATAGGAACAACCAGAATCCCCATAAAAAGTTTCCATCGACAATGCCTTCGACGTTTTCGAGTTGTTGTACATTTTCAAATTCTCCCAAAAGGATGGTTTGAATATCTTCTCCTCGCAACATGGAAACGACACTGATACAGAGACTCCAGGCGGCAATCGACAAAATAACTTCAATCCAGTAGAAAATCATGGCAAGTTGATCGAATGTGCCACCGCAACAACCACACGTAATACACTGTGTGCACATGGCCACAATGACGAGAATTCCCGTACCGACCACAATAAAGAGACAGAATTCGGCAATGACACGCCACGCATTGTGCTGGGTACAGAGTTTTTCCAGAACAGTGGCATCCGTGACACCAAAATTGTTGCAATCGTCGGTATCAATACCGGCTTGACTCCAGTCGGTGCAGTCGGGTTCACTACTGGTTGTAGTAGTGGACGTGAGCGAAGAGCAAGTCTTATTGCGCGAATAAAAGGGTCCAAATTCAATTACCAACGATCCACCTGTCACGGGATTCTCCACACTGGTAGAAATCCAACTTGGACTGGACGTCGACACAATCACACCCAGTGTAAAACACACGGCCGTCACCATTAGCCCATACCGACCCAAACATTCCTTGCAGCCCATCTTTTTGACGTTTTAATTAATAGTGATAAGGAGAGTATAATAGATAAGGAGAGGTAGATTGCTCTTCTTCTTCTTCTTCTTGTTGAGATATTTATGTTCCTGTTCTTGACTTAGGTTGGTTCTTGGCTTAGGCTTGACTTTCAGGTCAGTTGCTACCTGGTATACCTTGTTCGCAAAAAGAAATGTTAATCAATGGAATCGAATCACTTGGGTCCTTGACAAGCACGAGTCTACCTTGTCTTCGTTCTGTCTTGTCTTCTTGTAGGTAGCTGTGCTATGCTCACTGGTTTCCTTTCAAGCAATACTGCTGTTGCTTGGATGCATGGGTGGGTGCTCTAAAATGCTTGGCTTCCTACAACATAACAGCAAACGGTCACGAATGAGGCTTCATAATATCTTTTCCAAAAGATACCCCTCGATCTAACCAGCATCTGGTAAAAATTGGAAGGGCCACCCTGCGTCCAAACAAGACGAAATTCTTGATTTGGGGTAAAATATATCCATTAACATAACAATGGATCCACTCAATACATATTTTCAGCGCTATGATATGCTCACCCACAAGCGCACCCCGGAACAGCAAATCGGAACGAACGCCTTTGGAACTGTGATTGGACTCAGATACACAGAGGTGCTCCCAACTGGTACCGGTACCTACCGCCATGGTCTTCAGAATCTGGTCTTCCTCTGGTTGCTACTTCGTCTTGATGGAGTTACTCAGGACTGGCTGCTCTCTACTAGCCAGCTACTATAGTGGGAGGTACAGCAGCTAAAGAGTACACTGTATGTAGTACTATACCTCGGCAGTCTTGCTGCCAGAGCCCTCAACCCCTTTAATTACGTCTCCATTTGAGACGACGCTCCTTTTGGTTACCCCCTCAGTTGCACTCCAAAATCGATTCGCCCGCGTTTACTGTGGAAAAAAGAGTAGCCGCACTTCAGTTGCAGAATCAACGGTCATGTGTATCATTAAGTAACAAGTTCCCTTTCGAAAGATTTAGATCGATTCGTGGATAAAAGAACCGTTGAAGTTACTAAGGTTAAGGATAAACTGATTGCCTGCATCTCGTACCGTTCAAGTCCATAATTGAAGGTGCAGCACTGACTTCTCTCCCTCATTGAATTCGTATGGTAAACAGGAGGTAAATCCAAGCTTGGCCGACAACAATAATGCATGATGAGTGCTTTATCCAATCGGCCGATCGATCGATCCGAGGTAAGCCTATTATCAAGAGTGTTAATTGAAGGTACAGCGCTGACTTCTCTCCCTCATTGGATTTCTATGGTATTCAGGAGATAAATCCGAGCTTGACCGTCAACAGGTGAGTTGTTTTAATTATTCGAATCGATCGATCGCACCTCTGGTTCTCTGTTATCCAAGCCTCACTCAAGCCGGTCGTCTCCGGTGTAGAAGCGAAAGCCATCCCTCATTCAATCCTATGGACCGCGGGAAGGCAGTCAGCTCTCGGCCCATGACGGCCAAGTTGGTGCAATTTGAAAAGCAAGGGTAAGTCCCTGGTTTTCTTCAGTTCAGCACAGAAAACAAAACCCATATCTATTTGTTGTTTTCTCTGCTGCACTGCCGACGGCCGGCGAACTACCATCGTCGAGTCCTTTTCGATCGACCGCTCTGGATAACAAGAAGATGAGAGGCTACCGCTACGGAGGAGGCTCTGTTAACTCCAGCCCTACCAACAGCCTGAACAGAGGAGCCTATCATCGTCGAGTCATTGAAAGGCAACAGCCACCGGAAGAGGCAACAACACACAAGAGAGTGGATCCTCCTACCGGATTCATCCCTTCTTGTTATTTCCTACTGTTTTGGTGGTGATTCCTGTGTCGGTACCCATTTTCCTGCATGCGCAAGTCAAGAACTATTGCCATTAGCTATACGATAGCTGGCTACGATGACTGGATTGACAATGTTCGGTTGTGCATGTATTCGTCATAAGGATCCAATGCAAGGTACCGGTAACGGAGTGTAGCCAGTAAAGCGGAACCTAAGTGTGTTCGGTACTGTTGCCACTGTCACGGATCGATGTAACTCTACGGTAACTGGCTACAATGGCTGGATTGACAATATTCGGTTGTGCATGTATTCGTCAAAAGGATCCAATGCGAGGTTACGGTAACTGTAGCGAGCAAAGCCGAACTTTCGGTACTGCTGCCACTGTCGTCGATGTAGCTATACCGCAGCCGGCTACAATGGCTGGATTCATAATGTTCGGTTGTGCATGTATTCGTCATAAGGATCCAATGCAAGATACCGGCAACGGAGTGTAGCCAGCAAAGCGGAACCTGAGCGTGTTCAGTACTGTTGACACTGTCGCCGATGTAACTGTACGGTAGCCGGCTACAATGGCTGGATTACATGTAACAATATTCGGTTTTGTGCATGTATTCGTCATAAGGATCCAATGCGAGGTAACCGAGTGCAGCAAGCAAAGCCGAACCTGAGTGTGTTCGGTACTGTTGCCACTGTCACCGATCGATGAACTCTACGGTAGCTGGTTGTAACTGTTGGTTGAGGCAAAGGGATACAGGAGACGAGGGCTGAAAAAAACCGAATTGTTTTTCCTGCTACGGTGGTCCCTGCAGGTATAAGGGTAGGGTTAGAATACAAATAAGTCAGCAAAAACTAAATAATATTGGCTTATTTATCGTAAGCCAGAACCGGTGTAGGGGCTTGAAGGGTGTGGGACTTGGTACATGGGCTACTGCGAGCCAAACTCAGATTTTGGCTCTCGGATCCCTTTTTGGCCTTCCCAAAAAGTGAAGAATCCAGTCATCCTGTAGGTAGAAACAGTACTACGGTCCTTCCCCAGGATGACTCTCCATTCAAATCGGGGATGTCCCTGCCAACCTCTCGAGTTGGCCAGCCGCCCGCACGCGGCGGATCGTGACTCAACATACTGACGTCAGTAGGGGTTCGCAAAAGGAGATCACCTTTCGGACACCCAGTCATGCATCCAATGCCTTCCGGCGGGACGATTGGCGATGCCCGTGTACGTTAAGAAAGGAAATCGAGTCGGTATGTCCAGCACACGGGAAAGGCGTACTACGCATACACATGTACAGAATAACAAAAATGAGGGTATTTCTACTGAATGCTTTATAGTCTAATTTGTTGGTATCCTCCCTTTCGATCAACTTAACTGTGCTCACAAAGTCGATTGTTGCCACAATCAACAAACATGCCTCCTCGAACCGACTACGTCGAAGGTACTACGCTCTGGATCCGCCGCGGACCACACCGCAATCAGGTGGCAACCTACTGCGAGTCCAAGAGCTGCAAGATGTGCCTGGTGGAACTGTTGAATGGCACCAGGGTTTATGTCACCTATGGTGGCATTGAAGCCATCCACGAAGGGCCACCCACTGAAGCCGATGTTCGTGGTCCTGGCTACTCGATGGATGACATTGTGAGATTGGGTGGATGGCGCTTCCAGAACAATGCTATCCACTACAGCCTTCCTGACCCTATTTACCTCAGCAACATGGCGCAGGGTTTGGTCAAGTCTGTTGGGCTTCTCACTCGCGAGCTGGAAGAGACCAACAAAGAATGCCGCTGGCTCCGTTCCATGGTAGAGAGCAACCAGAATCGCATCCAGGATGTGGAAAACGTCCTACACAATGATGAAGATGTCCCTACTGGTTTCTAGAATAGTTTTAAATCTACTTAGTCCTTTGGTTTGCCGCATCTCTTTCCTTTCGGTAGCTTGTTTTGTTGTTGTAGTGCCTTGACAAGGTTGCCAATGCTGTTTCTTGCGACGGTGAAAAGAGGCTCCCATTCTTCGATCACGTCTTTGGTCTCCTTGTTGTTGTCATTGTCAATGGATACAATGCCGTTGTGTAGTCTTGTCCTGTAGGATAATTCAGTAGCCGGAAGGTGTTTCCTCCACTTAGAGCCGTGCTTCTTGTTGCGACCATCTATTCCACCAAAACCGTCCTCGAATTCTTCTAGGCCATACCACTCATTCCAGAAACTGGCAAGTGTGTTATGTCGCATCTTCAGGTAGTACCGTTTGTGCACTTCCAACAGCTCCTCGAGTGTGTACTTTTTGAATGGTTCCCACAGTTCAGGATGCGCGACAGGCCTGTTGTCTTGTGTAGCAACTGGCCCATTAACTCGGGTTCCCTGCATGGGATTTGAATTGCCCCCGGTATCATTTGTTGGTTGGAAAATTGCCCTTGGAATTGGTGTTGAATCATGCTCCGGTGTACTGTTCCTGCTGTTATTGTTGTTCAAGGGAGGGGTATTTCGGAGCAGTCGTGAACCGGCTTCGACCAGAAGTGAACCCACTAGCTTGTCAGTTTCCATTCGGTGGGCCTGTTGGTTGTCGTATAGTTGCTGAAACCCAGCCACAACTGTGTCTTGAAGCTGATCAATCCTAGTATCGAATTTTCGCTCTAAATCGTTGGTTGCCTTGATGTTGGTTGCAAATCGCTGGTGCACTCCAGGCATCACTTTCTCCAAGCTGGCGTCTAATGGATCATCGGCTGTAGTCAGCTTGTGTTTCATCTCCTCCTTAAACGTCTCGAATAGAGCAGTCTTGAAGATTGGCATTTCTTGAAACAGGGGATGCAACTCCCTATCTTCAGCTTGAATCATCATCGCGGCAACGTCCTGCAAAAAAATCACACACAACTCTTGGAAGAAGCTGAGAGATGCTTCTGCGGTTGGATGCTTCCCTTGCTGGCTCTGTACGTCTTTAAGCATTTCGAAGGAAAATGCCAGTGGGCAAAGGTTCAATAACTCTTGGGAGGGCATCACTGTAGTGCGTGGGTTGAAGTACATTCCACTAGCAGTGTTGAAACCGGCTAGATTCCTAATTGCTTTCATGGGAAGTTTCGAACTGTAGCAATTGTCGTATATAGACATGTTCCACTGCCCCATTCTCCGGATGTCTTCCGAATCCACCTCTGCTAAATCCAGTTTCTTTGCACCCACATTACGTCCTAAGTGGAGCTTGTTCCGCCGGTTCAGGACTCTTGACATGTGTCGGCTATAGCTGTCATTGCTCATTTCATGGGTATTGTCGAGACTGTTTACATCAATCAGAAACTTGACAACAAACCAGAAGCTGTTGTTGCACCACTGATCGACTGTCATGTCCACAAACTCCTCGGTGAGATGCACACGGAACATAAGGTAAAAAAAAATTGCTCCGATGCAGCATTGTTTTACATCTCTATGCCGTGTTGCCCTACCGTATTGCTTCTTTCCGTGAGTGGTCTTCCCCTGTGCAATCTGGTTGATAAGTAGAAAGAGGCTGTCCACGTCCCCATCTTTCCTTGGAGGTTTAAGGCCAAAGAAGTCTGCCACATCCGCCCTATACAGTGACTCTGACCAAAGAATTCCAGTAGTCAAGTACAAACAGCAGGCCCGATGCCGTAGATTGTTGCACACATTCCGGTTTCCGACTGCTTTTTGGCTGTCAAACCAAAACTCGTGTTCGATGTCGGCAAACCTTTCCACACAGCTGTAGGGCGCAAACTCGCCGTAGTACTTCTCGGCATAGTTGGCCTTGTCGAAGGCTGGCTTTCGCTCTTTCACGTGTTTCTCCAGCTCTTGACAGTCTGTTGTCCAGACAAACTCCCACCCATTGGTGTTCATCTTGTTGGCGACTTGATCTCTCCACTCAGCTTTGAGGACTGCTTTGTATTGTTGGAACACAGATATGCTGATTGGCTTCTCTGGCAGTGGAATGGCTTCATTGGTACCATCCTCAAAATGTTTCATGAGTGCGTCGTATTCCCCAGTGTTGAATGAGGGCGACTTTGGTGATCCTTTCTTCCCACCCTTGATTTTCTGCTTCCGGTGAGCTTGGTAAAACATAAATCTATAGACCTTTTCAGCATGCACATGATAGACATAGGACTCTTTGTTTGTGTAGACATGTTCACAAAACCTTTTATATTCCTCTGCCTTTGGATCATAAGCTTTCCCAGTGTTTGTGGGGATGCTCTTCTTGCGTTCGTTGTTCACGAAGGATGAGATTCTAGCATTGAGAGCCAGATCATTGGGGCTCCTAAGTTGCCTGGCTGGAGAGCCTACTGGAGTTCCAGATGGTGTTGTTTGTGCTGAGGTTGTCCTCACAGCAGCGGCTGCAGCGGCAGCTCTTCTGGATTGCCTGATGGCAAAGAGCTTTCCTGTTTGCATGTTGGCTTTGATTGATGTATTGCAACAGTTGCGACGAAAGAGAGGGAGAAGTACCTGCCCTCACATTTTGGCTCAGAAAAGCACGCCGTTTTTTGGCTCGAATCCTGTCAAGGAGTGCTGTTAGTACCGTTTACATAAGTCTATCTAAGTTATCTTAAGTCTACGAATGACGTGGCTGGGCGAAATAAATGGATTTATTTGGGTGGTCCTGCGCGAAATAAACGCGCTTATCTCGGCCAAAAGCTGGCCAGGGGCCAAAATGAGAACCGATTTGTTTTGGCCCCAATCAAAATATGTATCCTAGGATGGTGCTTTAAACCAGCTAAAGCTATTTACATGCATCCTAGTAGGGGGATCTGCTTCTACCAGGAAAAACTCTAAAGCCAGCGAAAGCTATATAACTTGTATTCTAGCTAGCAAGGGTATCTGCTTCTAGCTTGCTATGGGAATCTGCTTCTAGCTAGGGGGAATCTGCTTCTAGCTAGCTAAGCGCAAGTTAAGCACTAGCTAAGCACTAGAGGTATCTGCTTCTACCTAGCTAGCTCGGGGTATCTGCTTCTACATACATGTAAACACTGAAACCTTTCTGCCGAGGTTACACAGCTCCGCTGGCTTAATTCCAGCTCGATTACTTTTTAAAAAAGCTGCCGCCCGTATTTCAATTCATCCTGTTGATTGCATACCGGTACGGAAAAATCCATTTCTAGGTATGCGGGGACCAATGAAAGATTCGATTCGATTCGCCCACTTACGTCTACAGTGTGTGGCTGGGTGCCAAAACCTTTAGAAAGCACTTTTTGCCCGCATGTTGGTCCTCAGTTTATTGTGACCCTGAATCCCTGACTTCGAAATACTACTTGTTGCAGCCGTGGCAAGAGCATCAATTGGCAAGTGCGAATGGTGCCTCAACCTTGTTGTCGTCGCAATAATGAGTATCACGATCAACCCAGAGACTGATTACGAGCTCATGACAGCGCTCGTATACAACCATCAGGCCTGGAAATGGAACTGGCAGTGTCAAATTAATTGAAGTTTGCGGGACGGGATTGTTCCTTTCGCAAACTTCCTCTGATTGCATTCCATGAAATTCGCAAGCGGAAACTGCATAAGCCCCTGCTTCTCGGACATTCATACCACCTCACTCGACCTCACTAGCTACAATGTATCTAGCAAGGACAAATGAAGAATCGCAGTACAACATTTGGCCACTCGACCATCACCAGAGCCATATGCGACTGCCATGCAGGTTCAGTACGCCATTTTACAATGCAGAACATCTCAGCAAGGCAGAATTGCATGTTTGGTGGAAAACTGAAATCTATACATTTGGTATAAGGGGCCACTCAATTGGCAAGGCATACCCCTGTGTTGTCGCAACAACTGGTGCAGCAATCATCACCACATTCGATTGTGGGAACTCCTGTTCCGGGATTTGGCAAACAGTCAGCCACAACTGCAACATCACCTGTAAAATATGCAAGATTTTGGCAGACAGACACTGGAACGGCGCCAGTGAACTGATTCCCATTCACCTCCAATCGACCCAGGTCAGTCAGTGACTCAATCTCATTGGGAATTGTGCCATCAAAGTTGTTATTGGCTAGGCCCAGCCACTGCAGGCCCGTCAAACGACCAAGCAATGGGCTGATAGTCCCAGAAAAGTTACAATCATTGCCCACAAAAGCAATAAGGTCTGTGAGTCCAGTGTACATTTCTTCAGGGAGTGTCCCTTCCATATTGGAGTAGGCAGCACGAAATTCAGTCAATTGGGTTGCCAGACCAATCTCTGAGGGTAAGGTTCCTCCAATGCCAGTGTGACTCAAAAAGATAAGTTGCAAGTGCGTTAGCAATCCAATTTCACTTGGCAGGGTGCCCGTGAGCTTTAGGAGAAGGAAGGGTTGAAGGATTAGGCCAATATTCCGATTCTTCATGGTTTGGGGTGCTTGTGCTAACCCAAAGGAGGGCATAACTTACATCATTCTGATCAACAAAAAGACTCCCCAAAGAACCCAAGTGGAACAAGTCCAGTGGCAGAGACCCTGTCAGTGAATTGTTGCCGAGATGAAGTGTCTTCAAGGGGGGCATCCCCACTTCAGAGGGGATTGTAGTTCCGTCATGGCGAATTTCAAACCATCCAGCAGGGATGGGTCCTGAGAGTTGGTTGTTGCCCAACCGGAGCGACTCCAATGAAAAAGAGAGCAGCTTTGGTGGAAGCATTCCGCTCAGCATGTTGCCATGCAAATGTAGACGTTTCAGGTGTGGCAATTGTGAAATCTCCCATGGGAGAGGGCCGTTGAGCTGGTTCCATCCTAAAGAATATATTCGAATGTGTGAGAAACAATGATGCAATCCACATGTTCGGCCTAAAAGACTTACGAATTCGTAGCCGAGCAACTGTCATCTCTTTTGACTGTACAGTCTCACAGGCCACTCCAGCCCACTGGCATTCATGACTGGCAGAGAGCCACTGATCACCCCAAATGGTTGATGTTGCTTCGCCAGTTACAATGTCTGGTTCATAGCAGAATGCACTTCCTTGGGGAGTTGCTGGTGGATTGCACTCCTTCCATCGTTGATGCCTTGTGGTTTGGTAATAGAAGAGTACCAAAAGGAATCTCTGAACCAAATTCGGAGAGTTATACTCTAGCTGGATTGGATCCTGGTTGACAATCCAATCAAAGGCTTTGTGCCTTGTCTCCAGCATGAACGCTAGGATTTTACCATCATTTCCTTCTCCAGATTCTTCCACCTGTTGGAAGTAGTCCACGCCCAAAATGATTGTCAAGGCAGTTTCAATTTTAGGTGCTGCAACAGCATCTCTTGCTGTGGTGGGTGCCATGGTACTGCTGCCATCCACATAGACTTTAGAACTGCAGTGTCCAGTGCCACAAACAGCCCCAATAACAATAGCAGTTATCACTAGAATGCAGAAGATTCCTTCCATAATGTAGAATGGCCAATTGCTTCTCTTCTGGCTGTTTTGGTTCCCATTATCAGCGGTAGCAACGGGCAAGTCATCCTCAGCAACAGGTATTGCCTCTGCCAAGGACTCTGGGGGAGGTGGTTGGGAATCTCCTCCATCCTCTTCATCAACAGCACCAACAAGAGAGAATTGTAGGGTATTTGCACGTTGCAAGGCTTCTCCTGGTAGACTTATGTAGGCCCCTGGTCTCGACAGCTGATATTGTTGCCTCTGTAGTGGGATAGGTTCTGGCTGCACTGCTGCAAGCCCAGTACTTTGCCGGTTCGGAATATTACAAGAATTGGCAGTGGCAGCAAATTTGGCTGCCTTATTGACGTTGGTTGCCATTCGCAGGAGGTCCATATTCGTGTATGCATGTTGTTGATTAATATCTTCATCCCCTTTCAACATTATTTGTGCTGTTGTCGATCCTTTGGCAGCATTTTTTTCTTTTTTCTTTTCAGAGCTGTCCTCCTTCAACATTTGTGCTGTCGCCAAACTAGCCTGATCTGCCACGATTTTCATGATTTCTTCTTCGTCATCTTGTTGTCTGGGTTCACTTTTGTTTGGCAGCTGTTGATTGACTCCCACATTGCTGCTAGGAAGAGCCGAGGAAGAAGGGAAACGTATCTTCTTGGTGACTGTTCTGGTGATAGCTTCCGTATTGTCTTTGTTGGCTCTTGCAATGCCGGTTTCTTCATCCATTTGCCTTTGTGCCGCTTCTGCCTTGGCTCTTTTCATCAGAGCATCTCTGACGACAGGGTCGACAGGGTCGACAGGGTCGACAGGGTCGACAGGGTCGAGTGACATTGCTGTGTTACAAACAGATTCGTCCCTCTGCACACTGGCAGCTGCTTCCTCTTCTTTCATGGTGATCTATTTGCTATTGCTACAGTATCTCTAGCTAACACCTTGACAGGTTTATGACCGCTCTTCTCCTCTTCTGCGGCTGCTTTCGTTACGGTGTACCAGTACATGTACCGGTACCTGCCAGGTTCTGATTCGACGGAATACCAGGACCTCTGTGGATTACTTGGATTCTTTTTCTCCGCTTTTTAAATCCTTTTGATCTTCTCCTTTAATTCCAGTTGCCTCTTATTTTCAAAAGATGATCCGGCTATTAATACTACACTAGTAGGAGAAGTTTGTCACGTCTCTTATTTGAAACCATCGTTGCTTAATTAATCCTTTGGATCATCTCCTTTCACTAATTAAAAGACAACCATTTCCACAGAGGTCCTGGGATGGAAAACTCGACTGAACCGACTGATGATTGACCCAAACTCGAAAAGGACAGCAGCGTGGAAGTTGTCGTTTTTCAAATCAGCGTGGATAGATTCTCAGAGGAGTCAAATATTGTTTCTTCACAAGCTGAATTGTTACTGCCTTTGTGTGTTCCAACAGGGAATGATGGCAGATATTCCGGAGATCTTGAAAGCAATACCTGATGTGAAGGCTCAGAGAGTCTGTTGGGGATGTCAAATGTTAGAGCGAGTGGAAGAACCGTTTAAGGGGTGCTGCAACCGTTGTCATGATGAAGGATTTATTCCAGCACTCTTCTGCTCCCAAAACTGCTATATGAAGGCCTGGCCAAGACACAAAGAATGGCACGAAGAAGCGGTACCGAAAAAGGAAAAGCTGAAACAAGAAAGCGAATCTATGCTCCGTCGTGGCATTCAATCCCATTCGCAGTTTGTTAACCTTATGAATGCAGCTGCAGTGAGAGCGGTTGGCGGTGATTTGAACGGTGGCAAGAAACTGCTCCGAAAAGCACAAAAGATAGATCCAAGTCGCGCAGAAACTATCGACTTCATTGCCTCATGTTTCTTCTTGTCGGGGCAAGATGAGGAGGGTATAGCATGCACCGTGGAAGCTTGTGGACGCTTTGCGTTGGCTGCTTTGACTGGAAACCGCGGAGCTGAAAGAATTGAAGGAAATCAAATCACTGAGGTTTTGTGTCAATGGGCTCACAACGTGGCCTTTCTTGGCCTTCTCTATGCCAAACCCAAAAAGTTATATGCCGTCCAGAAGCCAACCTGGTGGTGCCACGATGGACTGTTAAAGAGAATCACAAAGGTGGGACTCGATGCATATGCAGCCATGTTGTCAGATCCTGACGTGTTCAACACTCTGATGGACCTTCGTGCCATGGCTCTATCAGGATTTGAGTTTGACGAGTCTATCCCTTCAAATAGAACAGCTGAGGAGCTCCGGGAAGCAGCTGCACTCTTGTGGACCGTATCCCAATTTGACGCGTCAGTGCATGCTCCTTTATACAAAGCTCGGAGTGAACTCGTCATGAAAGTTGCGGCATTGCGGAGTGCAGAAGAGGGGAAAGCTTATTGCAGTGCTTTAGAGAAAGGTGAAGCTGGCCTGTGGGTTGTTCTCTATGGCCTCAAGTGTGAAACAGAATCTCCAATGAACAACAAATTTGGCGTGGTTTGTGTGGATGGGCTGGAAGAGGGCCGAGTTGCTGTGAAAGTGGATGGCATCAGTGACGCAAAGAGGATTCCACCCAGGAATCTATGGGAAGTTCCGTTTTCCGAGCTCCATGTAGCCCTTATTTCAACTCTGGATGATACCACCCAGTGGAAGTATATCCGGGGCTCCAGAGAACTCAGCCTAGCTCGTTCCATGGCGGAGCAGCGCTGACTGCTCTGAGGGACAGAGTGAAACTGCTTGTGCGCCGCGTATATGGAGTGGCGTGCAGAGTATTGAAATGGCTATATCGCCTATAAGATGTCCTAGATGAAGACAATTAGCTATAAACATCCTTCTAGCATTATGAATACAATGACTACCAAAGCGTCGCTATGCTCTTCTCTGCATTTTGCAACTGCTCTTCTAACCCAGCAGCGACTTGAAGTCGTCTTGGTTGGACTTGTGGCTACTCGAACTCCTGCGGAACGAATCACTCAAAGCCTTCATTCTCTGTGCTTTGGCCATCAAGCGCTTGCGAGCATCACCGTTGATACTGCTGCTGCCATGGTCGCTGCCCTTATCCATGGTACTGATGCTGCTGTTGGCAAAACTACTCCCGGCCGTGCTGGTACTGCCCAGAGTGGAGAAGGTCGTGTTGCTGCCCATGGTCGAATAGCTCATATTATTGTTGCCCGAGTGATACGATGCCATGGAAATGGAAGCTGTGGTTGCCGTAGACTGCGACGACACACTGCTCCGAGATCGACGAACGGCGTGGGATGTCTTGCTGAGGCGAAGGGCACCCCCCATGGTCGGCAATTCTTGCAACTGCACCAATGATTCGATTCCCTTCTTGGCAATGTCACCACCATGACTGCTTTTGCTTGAGACAACATCCTCCGTCGCCGCCGTCGTGTTTGATACGAGATGCATGCTGTTGGGTAGAAAACTCAATTTGTCCTTGGCCGTTGTCTTCGCTAGCTGGGTACATGCTTGGTTGGATACCTTGAATGCTTTGGATATCTCGGCAACCTTTTGAGCCTGAGATTCCTTCTTCTTTTCGCCGTCTTGCTGAATCTGTGCCTGCTTGTCGATCAAGGCAAGAGTTTGTCGTCGGGACATGTTTCTCTTGCTTCCGCTGCGTTTCATCCTGCTGGCAGCCTCGTTTCTGCAGCTGCTGGGCTTATTGGGAGGTTCTTCGTCCCCGTCTCTTGGATTCTTGACCTCGTCGCCATTGTCCACCTTTTCGGCTGGCTTTGTCTTGTCTTTATTGCTGTGGAGTCCTTCTTCGAGACTCTTGCGTGGATCAAAGCTTCGACTGTGTCGAATCGAAGTGCGAGTACTGACTTTGGCGTCGACCCCGGTGCTTCTACGCGCATGCGTACTACCCCGCAAAGTGGTAGATCGTCGTCCCGCAATTGTGGACCTCCGATTCGTGTTCCCACGAAGACTGCCATTGGGAATTTCTTCGCCGTTGTCAGCTTGGTTGTCCATTGATGATCTCCTGGTATTCCGACTGGTTCTTCGGTCTCGAATAGTACCACCACGAAGACTTCCACTGGGAATCTCTTCACTGTTGCCATCTTGGTTGTCCAGTGACGATCTTCGGTTGTTGCGGCTGGTTCGACGGTCTCGAATACTATTAGTACGTGGCTCTAGCAATGGCTTCTGATCTGGATATTCCGGATCAAAGCTCTTGCTACGAGCAATGCGACTCTTTCGGGCTTTTGTGCCGGTCTGATCTCGGGTGCTGGGCTTGAGCTTGAAAAACTCTTCTGCTTTTGGTTCTTTTGCTTTTTTTGCGTTGTCGTCAATGTCGTGATCCCGACGACTATCGACACTGTTGCTTCGTACTTGGAATGTTTTGATATCGCGACTGCGTCCTCTCGTGGCGGCATGATTGGAGTTGTTGCGTACGAGCAAATCATCGAGCAGAGACGGCAAGGGGGTATCATCGGGAAGTGAACTACGAGCACTGTCGTGATAACAGAGTTCCTCCTCGCGTTGTTTCGTTTGCTGCGTTCGCTTGGCTTGAGGGTCCAAAGAATGGTCTCGCTTCGGGTGATGGTCCGGATGGGGGCTTTCGGCCCACCATTGGTCCTCTTCGCCATCGTCATGAAAGCTGGGTTCGTCCTCGGAATCGCTATCGTTGTCAAAGGACGGGGTGGTGGTGGGACGTTGTTGGAGGTTCTTCTTGAGTGTGTAGTTGGTGGGCCCACTGTGTGACCGTTTCAAGGGCATGGGAGAATCTTGTGGTAGTTGCAGTTGTTGCAGTTGTGTTTGTTGTGGGGGTGGTGGTGATAGTTCGAGGTTGTCCGTGGAGAGTCGGCTCTCGCAACTATTGCTCCGAAAGCGACTTTTGGTGGGAGCCATGGTTCTGCCTTGTCGTCGTGTATGGCTGGTGTTGCTTTTGCCGTTGAATACGTCATCCAGAGAAGACTTGTTGCTTCTCCCCGCTCGCTTGCTCCCACTGTTGCTACTACTCCCCTTGCTGCTGGTTTCCGAAGCGTGGAATTGTTCCATGGTTACATCCCCCTTTTCGTGGTTGCTTCCGTAGGCTTGAAACTTGAACATGAGGTCCTTATTGTTGGTTGGCACCGCTGGAAGAACGTCGGGCTGTCTTCGACTGTCGCACGAGTTGCTACGGACGTGTTTGCCCGTCTTATTATTGGTACGTTCTCGTCCCGTGCGTTCCTTGGCTTCTGCAGTAGTACTACTAGTAGTGGTGGTGGTAGGGTTGAGTAAGTCCATGAGATTGCGTTTGCTGCGGCTCTTTCGGTTTCCGCCACTGGATCTTTGCTCTTTGTTCGTGGTGTCTGTGCGACTGTCTCTCTTTCTACTACTCGTAGAGGATTTGTCTTTGCTGTCTTTGTTGTGATCGGAGCTTCGTCGCTTTTCTCTTCGTCGTTCCCTGGAGTCTTTGATGACTTCAGCTTCAGGCTGTTGAGGAACAGGCAAGGTAGAAACATCCATCGCATTGGGCTTGTCTTGTCTGTCATGACTATCCACGCTGTGGCTCCGGACATGTCCACTTCTACTACTCAGGCGTTGACTACGGCTCTTGGATCGTCCCTTATCCTTATCATCAGTACTTATTGTAGAAGGCTCTCCTAGCAGAGCATCCAAACTCTTGGGACTTCTTCTGCCTCGATTAGATCTACTCTTGCTGGCACTGCGATCTCGATGCTCTTTTCTCTCGCTTCGACTCTTGCTCCGACTGCCGTGACTACTGCTGTTGCCCCCTGTGCTCGACTTCCGATTCCGACGGGGGATGCGAGCATTGCCGTTGCCTACGGCCGTGTCTCGTGCTTGGTCGGCTGCCATTGTTCTGTTCTCGCTTTTTCTCTTTTTGCCTTTCTATGGATTGTCAATCTTCCAATGCATGAAATTGTGTCTGTTGGTCGTTGGTGGGTCGTTGATACCACCAAGAATCCAATGTGCCCATTTGGCTGGAGTCAAGCGAACTAGCTAGTAGCCAGATCGGGTTGTTTCAGACAACAACCTCCCTTTTGCCAGTTCAATAAAAGTGAGATGGGCATTCGTGTCCTCACAACTCCACCTGACAATGACCCACTGAATGTACACCTTTCCTTATGAACCGACCTTTACAGGAAATACCTCTTAAAAGTCGCTTTTAAATGACGATGAGAACACTTTCTACAACTGGCAACAACCAGCAAGCACAGACTGATAAAGCTTCTTCAAAATAGTTTAACGAACTACATAGTCTAGAGATTAGAAGATTCATCCTAAACAAACAAACGTAAACACTAAACTATACATGTACCTGGAAGAGGAACCTGAACAATCTTTAGAATACATACATGCAGGTATTTGGTGACTCAAGTTTTGTGATTTGTAAGGGACATAGACTACAGCATTGGAGACTTGATAGCATCATTGTTCTGTTGATGGATCACTATTACTAGATATACCAAACAGCAAACTACACCAGTTCCATCCGAGCTTATTTCGAGTTGCGCACTTTTTCCTACATGCAGATACCGGTACCACAAGGTACATGCAACTTCTTATTGTACAGTGATGGAGGCTTGATAGAATCGTTCAAGTTTTTAATTACATTTATTTGGTACAGGCAGCTACCTACTGGCTCATTCCAATTCACAACAGCCAATGATCCAGTAGAAAACAATCCCAACAAATAATGGACTTGAGAGGCAAGACAATTAATTATCTAGCTAGACTACTGTACCTGGCAGCTACAGTCAACACTCACTTAAGTTCCGTTTTCTTAAGTTCCATTACTCTACAAAGTTCCTCTTTTTCAGGGCTGCCCCCCCCTGAGTCACTAGTTCTCATGAGTGACAAGTGAATGAACTTTGTGGCAGTTTGAGACAGTGCTGCCAATTAGGACCCAGCATTGAGATTGTTCATTTATACATATATGAAGTTTCTTCATCTATCTTTCATGACAGGCATCTTAGAGAGCTCGAAACTAGCTAGCCACATAGCATGTTCTACTGGTCCAACACAATACAGACACCATCCACCCCAAGACTGCTTATCTCTCCTTTTCCCCCCAACAACAATAGAATATGACAGGAACCACCCCAAGTGGGTCCTAAGACCACGAACGGGCCGATATGGGGCTCCAAAGATCTAAAGTTCCGTAATTCAGCTAAGTTCCGTTTTTTTCTTAATGCTGGGGGGTGGAACTTTAGTGAGTGTTGACTGTATTAATAGGGATTGTAATCCCATTTCAGTGGGGGCTGAACCTCTTCGTGAAAATATAACTATTATCTGGAAGGTATTTTAATAGGTACATCCTTTTAAAATTGGATACCCCACTTGTAATAACTGTTGCTGGAACTTTGGAAGTGATCGCTTTATTGAGTCACTCTTTATCAACCGGCAACAACCGTTTAAGCAAGAAAGCGTCGTCTTCTGGAAGCTTTTGGTTCTCCTTCTTCCACGAACGGTCATACTGTAAACTGCTTTACATTAAGTACAGTACTAGGTCATTGTTCTCTGAAGAACTGAACGCCAGTGACCGACCTTTTCTTATTAGGAGGCAAGTGGAACCCTGTCTCTGTGCGCCGAAGCTTCCAGTCACAGTTTGCCAGCAAAAATTCCACGTTCAAAGCAACTGCCAGTGTGCTGGTGGCTCTCCACGGTTAACATCCTTCCACGACATCCGAACTGGTTGTGCAGTGCAGCCCTGCCTCATGTTGAAGAAGAAGGTTCCACAGGCTGTAGACGAGGGTTGGCAAGTGCCCCAAAGATAGCGGCACATACCGGTAGAGAAAGCTGGATACGGTGTCCGCACCATAAGTAGATGCGCTCGCAACCACGAAAACGTCGTCGTCCAGTCATGCTCTGAGCGATTGATTCTGAGGTTTTGGGTAAAATCACTGTAGTTAGGGGGACATCAAAGTATCCACCAGGCCAGTCATTGCTCTATCGAATTGCTACGTCCACCTGAAAACAAATAGCTTGGTGAAAGCAACGATTCGAGGGGTGCCGGTACATGGAGGAGGAAGGTAGGACAACCCAATAGCTACGGCACCGTTCCAACCGTACCGGTACCAGGTACCTGCACCTCGCCCGAACCTGCACCTCCACTTTCCTTGCTCTAAAATTCCGCACCTCCTTCCTCGCCGTGCGCCATTCCGTAGGAGCTTTAGAAGTTGATGACATTCACATATCTGTGAAAACTGTAATGAAGCGAGACTGGTATATACAATGCAACTATTTTCAACGTAGCTATACGCATAGTGCTCTATCTAGCGGCAGTGCAATCAGTACCTACGCCGTCTTGGCGGACCCCGCAGTGCGAAACAATACAGGAATTTCCTTCATCCAATTGTCTTGCTTGTTGCCACCAGTCTCGTTGTCCGCTTTTCTGGTTGCTGTGAAGCCACCGGTACGAAAGAAACTGTTGAAATCCTTCATCCAAGTTTCTGGACCTTCCTCCTCCTCATCGTCCAAGTCCGAAAACTTGCTACTCGATGACCCCCAGTCATTGGTTGTACGAAGCTCTTTCATTCGTTGAACCTTTTCACTCAATAGACTTTCCGGAGACTTGTTCGCCGAATCGTCTCGCTGGCGAGCAGGGCTGAAAGACCTCATCGTGGTGTCGTAGGCTTCATCGAACTTGGAATGGTCGCTGCCGCTCCACCTCTGCACGGGATCGTAGGCTTTGAGAGTAGCCCCGTAAGCATCGTCAAACTTCGAGCTACCATGAGATTCCAAGGCTTTTGAGAGTTGGAGCTTGGCGAATCCCCCGTTGGCAGTGTTCCGCCCTCTTTGGCCCGTGGACATAACCCGACGTAACGTAGGCATGCCATTTTCGCTACTACTGGAAGCGGAGATCGTGCGTCTTGTCGGTCGACGCCCCAGTTCCTGGACCTTTGCCGCCCCCGTCCTTTCGGTGCGTTCATCATCCGAATTGCGTTCTCCTTGGCCAAAGGAATTGCACTTCCGGATGGTGTTTCGTCTACCGCGTCGCTCTGATCGGGGAATGCGGACTGCGGGCTGTGGCTTTGGTCTCAACAATGTAGAATCTGCTACACATCCTCCCTGAGACTGTGTCCGTTTCATCAAGGAGCGTCTATCGATAGCAGCTGGTCTTGCGTTCGGCTGCACGTTTTCCTGGACACTACTACTGTTGCTTCGTTCTGACTGAGACCTCGTCATCATTGCACGTCTATCCACGCCAATGACTGCTGACAGCTTTCGGCTGCCCTGCATCCGTTGCAGGGCCAGGTCCTTGCCCAAATCAGAGTAGGATCGGCTTGGGACGCGGTAGAGGGCAGGTCGATGATCTCCGTTGCTCTTCAGTTGCTCTGTTGCGGGACTCTTGGGCCGACCTTGGCGCAGAGAAGGGCGACGGTCATCGTTACCCTTTGCATGGTCTCTCATGGGGCTCTTGGATCGGTCGCGGCCTTGGCGGATAGATGGTCGGCGATCATTGCTGCCCTTCAGGTGCTCTCTCATAGGACTCTTTGATCGGCTTTGGCGGACGGATGGCCTTCGTTCTTCAAGGTTCTTTGTGCGTTCTTTCATGGGACTCTTAGATCGGCTTTTGGATCCACTGGCACGCTTGTGGTGACTGCTGCCTCCAAGAAGACTGTCCCTTGAGCTGGTTCGGTGGCTCTTCTTGTGATGGCTACTACTCGACAAGTCACTCTTGTCCCTTGAATGAGATCTCAGACTCTTCGCTTCGCTGTGCTTTCTGGTGGAAATGGCCTGGCGTCTTGGCTTGTCGTGGTGCCCAGAATGGATATCCAGCGCGCTGCGATTGTGGCGGTGATCATAACGATTGCTGCGGCGACTACTGCTGCTGCTATCATGGCCAAAGCTCTCCAGACTAGCGTGGGAACAAATCTGATGGCGGCGAGATCCGCGTTCAGGGCTACTGTCGCTGGGGCTGCTGGGGCTCGTAATCGTTTCTAGGTCAATACTCGCATCATCGCTGTCTTGGTCACGGCTCTCGTCGTGGTGAGGAAGGATCAGACGTCCACGTTCAGTGCTCTTGGATCGGGATCGATCCACATCGCCAATGCTGGTTGATCTCTTAGGACTCTTGTTCTTTGCCGAGGGGCTCTCTTGGGCATTCCCACCGCTTTTGGATCTCTTTGGGCTCTTGCTTTTGGCAACGCTCCCTTTTCTAATGCTTGAAGGACCGCCACTACTGACTACCCGAGCTGATGCTGATTTCGTTCTGGTGACACGCCTACATGTAGTTGGGTTCTTGGCCGATGTCTGCCCCCCGCTGTTTCGTTTTGGGCTCTTGCTTCGTTTATCTTTGCTTTTGCTGCCGCTGTTTCTTTTGGGGGGTTCACTGGAACCACCACTCATACGCTTCACCTTGGTGCTCTCCGACTTTTCTTTCTCATCCACCTCGGATGGCGCAATCGAGGGGTTCCAGTTGTCTTCATCAAAGGGTCGAGACAACCACCTCACAGTTTCCTCATCCGGAATTGTTGGTGACCTGAGCGATACTGCAGCCATGTTTGATTTGCGCTGCCTACAATTTGTACCTCTTGATGAGCAAAAGAAGTGATGGATGCTAGCTACCGTAGCTAGAATTGTGAGCAGAGTGGTGGTCATATCGGTATAGACCACCACAGACTTGAAGAGCTTTATCCGAAAGGCCGCCACAATGCAATGTTTGGTGTGCATCATGCCGGTAAAGGAAGACCCAGTGGTTGCGGCTTCAACGTAGATACAAAGAAAAGGAAGCGTTCTTTCGTCGCTCTAAGGTTCCGGTATTGCTAATGATTTGGTTTTGCTGGATATGCCACGGGGGAAGTGAAATAGAGAACAGCTTCCCTGGTTATGCGCAGATGCGAACTCCCTCTAAGTTTTGAATCGTAATGTCAGCATTGGAGTTCTTCAAGAGCTTTACCTTTGATCAACGGTCAGCTTGTGGACACTTTCCGTGAATGCCTGTGCTTCGTATCTAGAATCTTCATCCACCCACAGCGCCACTGCCACACAGTCGAACGATCTTGCCTCTGTCTTGATACAGATCAATCTAGCCGCTAGCTAGGAAAACAAGCCAAGCAAAAAGGATTGTCAACCCACTTACTTCATCGCAAGCAAGTTCCTCAGGCGCGATCCCCTGATTGACTACTGGAGTATGACGGCTTGTCCCCTGGACTTTGCTGCTCTTGGCGGCGAATGCGTCTGCGGCATCCCAGTGCATCTTCTCCCATGGGCACACCGAAGACAACCTGAAGTCCATCGTACAGCAACTAAAGCAGGCTTGCTTCGAGGGGAGCTGCGGGTGTGGAGTGAGCGGGCTCAGAGCTCTGACTGGTCTGGCTGGAGAAGAGGATCTAAACTATCCGTAGGTGAATTGTCCTTCTTTCTGGTTCCACTTCAACAACAAGATCTATCTCATGCAATCAGGTTGCTTCTATTCCTTGTGGTCCTTCTTTTTCCGCGTCTGGCTGTACTGACCTGGATAGCCAACAAGATTGATACTAGTCGTCGTTTTCGCTCTGGGCATGTGGTACAAGTAGAACCAACACCAAATCTAAGGTGGGCCGAGAGAATGCAATGAATGCAACGAATGCAACCAACCGGCCATTGAAGGCTCCTGTGCGACCCAACAACAGAAGGAGAGAGCTAGGAGAGAGAGAGAGTTGGTTGGGCAGCAAGCAGTATAACGTTGCAAGCCGAAAGATCAGCTGAGTTTGGCTGGCAGTTGCGACGAACCAGATTGATTCGGAGAATAGAGAAAGAATTTGGTGCGAAGGTGCTGTCCGGGGGAAGTTTAAGACAGCAAGATTGCAGCCAATTCATTGGCAGGCAATACGATACTGCGACGGGATACAGCTTACAATTCAGCTTTACAGCTTTACAATTAGCAGGCTTATTCTAGAAAATAATCAATAACTGCTCACTTATTTGGAAATACAAAGTTTACATCTCTTAGATCGTTAGATTAATCAATCCACAATGGTATTGTCGCATGGTAGCATGCGAGGTTATGAGATGTTACTCATTCTTATTTTTATATGTCTATCCCTTATGGTTGTCAATGGAATGAGCTATCCCTTGATGCAGAGTCCTGAGTTTCCTCTCATTATCTTCATCGGTAGTCCTTCCCCTTATTGCAACTTAATTCCCTTGGATTCGCTCGCAAGCAATCCCCTTATTAACCTGCTGGATTCGCTCGTAAGCAATCCCCTTGTTCCTTATCCTGTCGTTGATCGAAATCGCGATGAGGACCTTATTTTAAACAATGGACTCCTATGGGAGTCCACCCTTTTCGATCAACCGAGCGCTAAAGAAGTCGCTACTAATACTGTTACAGCGACTACTAGCGTTACTGCTGCTGCTACTGCTGTTATCTCTATCACCGGCTGTATCTTCGGCAAAGCATTGCCTCATCTCCGTCGCGATCGATCGATCAGAGTTAACAGAATTCATCATCTCCGTCGCGATCGATCGATCAGAGTTAACAGAATTCATCGAAAAATGAGCTCCGTCTGCAATAAGGCTCGGCCTGTGTGTCATGCCTTGAGTCATGCTTCGGGAGGTTCGAACTGGCTGAGTCATGCTTTTGTTATATCTTCGAAGCTGGAATTCAAAGCCCTCACTTTTTCATTAACTCGACGGAGAGACATACAACAACAACAACACGCAGCGATCGATCGCTCCGTGATCGTCGCTCCGTGATGTCTTGCTTACCAAGAACTGGCATTGGTCGTTTTACTGGCTTGCAGTTGGTCGTTTAACTGGCTTGCAGGGATCGAATCTTCAAACGACCGATCCGCACGACGATTCGCCGAACGCAAACGACGAAAACTCGCTTGCAGTTGTCGACCGAAAGACTGTTGGAAAAGCTCATAAATTCCCTCGTTGACTCGTTGATGTGGTATCCACCCGTCCTGCTACTCTCTTTGTTGCTCGCTCCCCTGTTGGTTCCGTTGGTACGCATTGCCATAGCCATTGCTCCTCTTTTTTTGATTCTCACTTGTGGACCTTGACGCACGCTTCTCTGCATCAGCATCTTCGATTTCAAAAACTAGCAGCGCAGCCGCATCCTTGTTCGTCCAAAGCGCTTCAGACAAGCCTTCTTTGAATTGAATATTCACTTTGTCCTCAACATGACTGCAGCACACATGAACCGCCAGTTGCATTCCAGGAGCTCCTCCAACATTGGAACAAACAAAAGACCAAGGCTTAGCAGAAGCCGCCTGGCTGGATGGATTCAACACACTGGAGCTCTGGACAGGATCGGCTCAGATGGGTGGAGAGAACTCGAAGCACCCTATGCCTCAGGGGTTTTCTGGTAGCGACATCTACAACATCACCCACTCAGCCGATCGATTGGCATGCAAGAAGGACTGAGGATTCCCCCAGGGCCTTCCTATTCTCGTTTGACTGAGTCAATTGCCTCTGGGTCCCATGTTTAGCCTCTCTCTATCGCCATTGAGAGAGTATGATGCAGAGATGGAAGGAAGGGGTCTTCCAGGTTGTCGGAGCCTTATCCACACTATTAATAGTCAAATGTTTCACTGCTCCTGTGACAGGGTTTCCGAGTCATTGTGAAAAATGGATCAGGATCGTCACGTTAATGGGGTTGGATTCTTGATGCTGGGACTCTGAGCCACACTCTGTCGCCGATGATCTACCACCTTGGCTGCGTCGGGAAAGGCTGCTTGAACTCTTGCGACAGATGCACGAGGAGAATTGAAACGAGTCGAGCCGACAACATATGGGCCCCACTTCTTGGCTCTTCGAGACAATTACAACCATTCTCTCAGTAAGATTGAAACCCTCAAAGCCAAGTCTACTTCCATTGGACTCACAAGTTCCCGTGGGAGGTGTTTCCATGTATGATTGTCTCTGATGCAAGCAAGTTCATCAAAGAGATTCGGATTAAATTTGTGTCAGCTGATCCTATGCTGCAACTGCCATCTTGAGGGTCTCCTTGTGTGGTTGTCCATACTTTCGATCCAAAGTCGATGGTCCTTGTGTCAAAGTGACATCCAACGGATTTGATAGCAAATATGGGAACAAACAATTGGAAGCACTCGACACATGAATGAATTGGATGCCCTATATCGGGCCCTCATCAACCAGAAAACAATTATGAGCCTGCCCAACATCATTGGATCCAAGGGATCCACAGGCCAAAGCCTTCCAGGCATGCATTTACAAAGCAGTTGAGGCAATAAGTTTGGAGTCTCACCCAGGATCGAAACAGTGGGTGCAGACAGTGTCGGTACCGTCCTCGTGTAGAGCGCCTGCTTTGATTGTTGACTACTGATCATCATAGAAACGACACATGTCCAAAGCGAGGTCGCTCCCAAGGACAAGGTCTAGTGCCTGAAACCAAATTCCAAAACTCACAACTCTATCAAAGACAAGCTTGCTTCATGCCTCCAAGAGAGAACATTCCGATGATCCCAACACACCATTTCTGATGATGGGAAGGTGAGTTGCAAATACTGTCGCAACTGTGGAAGGTTCTCCAAAGGCAACACATTCTCATTTCACCAGTGAACATCGTGGGTTCCGCAAAGTTTCCTTACAAGGCAGCCTCTTCTGTGGCATACGCTACTCCCCACCAGTGCTCCGCCTCTCGGCTTCTGGCTCCATCACTGCTGGTTGGCAGACACTTTCTTCCACCATTGGATTACTATTTCCTGTGCTATGTCCCTGTTCTAAGCCATGAGTTTATACACGCCACCAATGTTGGGTATTGATTTTGTTCCATGCAGGTCAACTTGGCAACAGTAGGTCTTAGTTTTGATGAGACCTCCGCTCTTTCAGCTACCTTAATGGGGCTTCATGTGATGCTTCTGGCAGAGTACACACATTGGCAACGTGTTTTCTCATTCCTATTCTTTTGCCCCATTGTGCCCTTCTATCTCGGGTCTTCTCCTGTTGGAGTGGAGAAGAGGCTGCATGCGCATTATTCAATCACTTCGATTCTAGCCCTGATTCTTGGAGGGAGCAACCTTCTTCAGTTACCGCTTAAATGGCTGATGTTGCCTTCTGCCTCCAATATTTTCCCTCCCCTATCCTTCATTGGATCTATGTCTCGGGGCGGGTGTGTGCTTTGTCTTTTTGTTTAAACTTGTTCTAAGTTCAGTATTACATTCTTCAGTGGCTCTCTTGGCATCACCAAACTTGTTCTTCCACGCTTCATCGGCCAAACTTTTGATCCCGATCCAGACCAGACTCATACTTGTCAATTCCCAAAATGATTCTTCGGACCTGTGTACAACGATGTCTCTTCTTAAAGCATAAATTAACTTTTAAGGACACCTATGTCGTCTCTTCTCAACCCCCAACTTCAACCGGCTTCCCCGCAAATGTCGGGCTAACAGAACCCAGTCGAGATACAAGCTGATGGGCCTCCTTGGAGTCACTGGGAACTCAGTCGCTTGGGCACATTCATTCCAGCTCTCCAGTGAACTTGCCTTTTAGAAAACAGCCTCGAAGGTATCGATCAATGCAGGGAAAACTGAAGACACACAGTCTACCGG